TGGCCTACTCTTATGTCTCACCAACACTACCATTACTGGGGGTACATGATCAGACCTCAGGAAAGCACTGAGTACTCTCCAGTTTGCAAGTGGGCCACTGGCTGGGTAACTACTGACAAATCTGCATAAACATCTATTGAAAGTTTCACAGCTTTCTCCTTATGTTGGCAGTTAACATGGGTTCCCTCAGGCTGAGAGGGAGGACACATGACCACCTCAATCTGAAATGTCCTCTGACACTATTATAAACACTTTTTTCCTTGGCAGCTTTGGACATTTTTCTTTAAATGTCCCTTTTCCCTGTCTGGATCCAGGGAAGTATAACTTTTCCTGTTTTCCTACTGGCCTTCGTTCCCATAGGATGCTAGTATTACTATTTTCATTTTCCATCTATAATATTATTCTGTGTTTATAATATTTAGGTGTTTCCTTTCTACTATGAAACACCTAAACTCAGACAAATTTATTCCTGCATACTCTTCTTTTATGGAGTCTGACAGTTTGCTCTAAGTCCCTCTAGCTTTAGTGAAGAGAGTCACATCTGTATTTACTATCAACATGAAAAACCTGCATTACATCAGAAATCAACCAGACTAACTTATATACTTACGAACCACATAGCATTCAGTCAGATTAAATCAATGAAATACCTTTTAATCTTGTACAAGAATAACAATGTATATTACATTTGTAAAAACTAGTCTTAGTATAATTATGATTAGTTAGCAACCTCATTATATTGTATTATCTCAATTACAGCTAAAGGAAGATGTTTTTCAAAGTCTGTTTTTATTGAGGTACAATGACTAGAAGGAAAGTCAGGTTGGAGAAGGACAAAGAGACCCGTGCCAATGTCCAGCAATATGCTGGGTTTTCCTCTAGTCATGATTACTCAGGGCTCCTCTGTGGAGATGGCAGGTAGAGATGACAGTCTGGCCAGAGGGAGGAGGCAGGCCCAGGGCCCTTCAGTCCTACTGGATGTTGTAGCTCAAAAATCAGATGACAACGAGGCAAGTCCAAAAGTTAAAGAAGCACTTTATTTTAGCTGGTATCCAGCGGCAGACACCCCCGCAAGATGCTGAGGTGCGCGCCGGGAGGATGAGGGGAGTGGGTATTTAAGCCAATAAACCACAAAAGTTGACGTCAAGGGTTCATCTAGTGGCTACAGTTGAAAAATTACCTGTTTCTAATGAACAATAACAAGTGCAGTGATGGGTACAGTTTGTAGCTGGGAACGAGGGCGAGATCA